TTTTTTTTCTTTTTATAAACCATCAAAATGCGATTCGTTAGCAGCGCAAACGTGTTTTTTGAAAAGTTATTCAGATACCTAGAGCTTTTCAAGCTTTAAGGGCAGGAGCAGGAGTGAAAATTCGTCGCTTCTCTGATGTAAGGGCGTATCTCTATCCTCACATTAGCCTCGGAAAGCATTGATTTATACGAGGAGCAGGGCTCTCCTAGAAATCGAGATACGTCCTTACGTCAGAGGAGTGACGAATTGTGTGCATTTTTTTCACCTATTGTTCACACTGAAAAAAAAAGAATCTTAAATTTGCCGCCAAGAAGTATTTTTTCTTACATCAAGAATTTTGCTGCTGAATACTAACTACTTTTTTGCTTCACTCAAGCCGTATTTACCTTGTATCCAGAAAAATTCAGCTTAAATCAAGATAAAAACAAATTCTCGGCGGCAAATTCAAGAATCATCGTGCTTGAGCCGAGCAATTTTTTTTTTCAGTGCAGGTGTACATGATTTTTGGACTCCAGTGTCGTTGTCCTATACTGAAAATACAGAATGAAATTGGAAAAAAAAATTGGTCTTGTGGGAATTGAACGTCAAGTACTTAATTGATCGCGCCCCAGCCCCAACCCTAACCAATCGATGTTTTTTGAACCGGATTTTTTGTCTTGGAGCCTTTACGTTCGGTGCGGAGAGCTGAATAGTTCGGCTACTGAAGCTCAGCTTTCGGTTCGCATGACGTAACTTTTTTTGTCAACTCAGCGTAGACAAGATACGAAAAACTGGGTCCGGTGGTAATCTAATTTTGTCGAGATCAGTTGCGTGGCGTACTTTGCGATTTCTCGATTGATCTGCCATATAAACCTCTGGAAAAGGGTCGATTAAAAGGGTGTTCGCAACGAACACCTGAATAATCGATTCCTAACCGTAGCTTCAAGTGGGGAATTATCGATAAGCGATCATTCACGCCTCGCACTGGTCGAGACTCACCTGAAAGTCGGATATAGAGTCAGAACTTTGCACTGTTATCGCGTAGCCTCATTAGCATTGAATAACCGTTGTCTTGTGGTACGCAAGACTATATAGGTCGTTTTTCGGCTGCTCGCAGATTTCTTGAGTGATGGGGTCGACTCTGAAAAAAATAACGAAAAAAATAAAAACGAAACAAAACGTGAAAAATCGGGAAGTTTGGAAATCGCGAGTCGCATTGAAGTCGTTTTCCTTGTATCTACAACCCGGTCTCGGAACGAAACTAGTTGGCTCATTTTCGAAATAAACGATTCAGTTGTCGATAAAACATGATAACTAGGACGCTAATTTTATATGTTCGCTCTTTATAATCAGGCGAAAGAGCACTGAAAAAAAAATTCTTGATACATCATTTTGACTTCAAGCGTCGTTTTTTGTCGACTTTTGGGGTTTTTTTTATAGTTAAATCCGTCCGAGTCAATTATTTTGAGTTAAGGAACGTTATTTTTGTATAGTTAAGTTTAAGTAAAAAAAATTGGCGTTGAGTTAAATCCGTACGGATTTACATAACAAAACAAAAAAAAAAAAAAAAAAATTGTAAGTGAGAACGGATTTTTCGTATTTTTCTGACGTACATTCTACCGACCGATGATAGTGCGTTTTTACTTTGTTTCGATCGAAACGAAAAGAAACAAGGGGAGCGAGAAAGTAAAAATTTCTCGTAGACTCAAAAATATATCAGGAGAATAACTCAGAAGTTCACGCTCCAGATATTCATCAGGGACAATGATGACAAGGGAGCATGGATTTTTCATTCTTTTCTGATCAGTTGCTTTGACATCATTAGCTATAGTGTGTCTTCATCTCTCTCAGATCGAAACTATAAAATTATTCATAGGCTTCAAAATATCGTTGAAAAAACTCAAAATTTCGCGCCCCAACTGGCTGATTTTTGAAATTGATAGACAAAGCAATAGACAAAGAAGACAGAGAGTATGGAACGATCCGATCGGTTAAAATTTGGTTCCTATAGACCAAGAGAGAAAATGATGGACTAACTGTACGGTCCATCAAGGGTTGCCGTTAGTTTGTCTATTACTTACCTCCTTTGTCCATTGCAACCACCCACTTCCACCACTAGGATTGCTTTATTTTCCTTTTGTCTTCTTTATGTATAGCTTTGTCTATCAATTTCACTAATCAGCCTGCAGGTGGTCATTCAGGAAAAATGACAAAAGAGCATGGATTTTTCGTCTTTTTGCAACCAGCCGCATCCTGCTGTTCAATGACAGCGCGTTTCCTTTGCTCTATCGAAATAAGGAAAGAATGTCTCGTGCTTAGTCTCGGAAGTATCGTTTGAAAAAAATTAAAAGCCCCGCGCTCCAAATTTGAGGGGCTTGGAGGGCAAGGCGCACAAGTGCAGTTTTTGCCATTTCGAGAAACGCGTGTTTGAAGTTTCGAAATTAAATGAATCCTATTGGCGGAAAGAAAGACCAAACTGACTTTTTGATGCTTAAAAATTGGAATTTAGGGCGAAATTTTTTCGTAGAATATGCATTAAGACTAGGTTTACTTGAAATCACCGATATCTCAATTTTTTCAAAAACTGCACTCATGCGCCTTGTCCTCCGAGCTCTTCACGTCTTAATGCACGTAGTTCCGTTTAGCAAAAATACGTCTAATTGCTCCTCCGTTCCCGAAAATTTGGTCGGTGGCCGTGAACGCTCACTTGAACGCGGCGCCATCCATTTTAATTTTCTGGAGATCAAATTGCATACTCCATGAGGTGATTCGCATCGATATAAAAATCGCGTATTTTCCGCGGTATTCAGATGGAAATTGTGTGATTCTTTGTGATCAACCAACCGCTAGAAGAGTTAGTTACTTTTCGTGGTATTGACGTAAATAACGCGTAATTTTTCATGATTTTACGAAACCTCTGAAAAATCGCGTATTTGCCACGATATTGCAGTGATTATCGCATATTACTCAATTTTTTATATTTTATTTACCAAATCGCTGGAAAAATCACGCATTTCCTTCGATACTGACATAAAAAGCGCGTTATGTTTTTCGATTTAATGAATCCGCTAGAAGTATTGCGTACTTCTCGCGATATTGAGATGAAACTCGTAATTTTTCACTTTTTCAAGCGCGGAAATCAATAATTGTGTGATCCTTTTCTCTCTTAATCGACCTTTGGAAAATTTGCATATTTTCGCGATATTGAAATGAGTATAATGCGTAATTTTTAATCAAAACTGCTAGAAAGAAACCAAATTCGTTGGAGCGCCTTCAACTTCGTATGGTACTGTGGAGCACCTCTGTTGTGAAATAGTTGTTTGAGGCGCCGCGTCGCGCCGTGGCACACCGCGCTGCGACGGGCGGCCGGCCGGCCGGCCGGCTAGCGCATTGGCGCCTACAAACCTAAGGGGATACCTCAAGCATTGCGCAACGTTTGAAGTATCCCCTTAGGTTTGTAGGCGCCAGCGCGCATTTTGCGCTGGCAGCACACCGATCCACTTTGTGTTAGTCTCTACTTAATATTTAAATTCGTGGAGTCGGCGTTTTTTAACTCATGATTTTAAATGTTTGCACATACTATGCATGGATTATTCTCTTTTAAATTGATGAAAAAAAATATGTATTTGAGGAAAATATAATGTGTGGTTTTTTGTGAATATGGAGGTGAGTTCGTATCAAATTTTCGTGAAAACTTCCGTGATTTTTCTTCTTTGTGCGGAGAAAAATCTGTGAAAACTGTAAGGAATGATATTGATTTGATCTCCCTCAAAAAAATAAAATGTGAGCGGAGATTTTTAAACACCGCAAACGAGATACGTGGTCTGGTAGTTTCACCGTCGATATGGGTTAAAACCAAAGGTTGCGTGCTTCTTGGTTTTAAAACCGCTTGAAAAATCGCGTTTTTGCCTCGATATTGCTGATCATTCCACAATTTTCCCTTAATGTTTACGAACTCGCTGAAGAAATCGTCCCGATCCCGCGATACCGTGATGAAAAGCGCATAATTTCTTTTGATTTAACGATTCCGCCAGAAATATCGCGTACCGCTTGCAATATTGAGGTGAAATTCGCGTATTTTCTTGTTTTCACACGCAGAAATCAAGCAAGTAACTATTCGAACTCCGGAGTAGGTATGTGGTATCATGCAAAATTGAAGGAAAGTCTTTTATTTTCACTTGCTATCTCAAGTTACTGACATTTATGAATATTTATGCTTGCATCGATGTAAAAATCGCGTATTTTCCGCTATATTGAGGTGAAAATAGTGTGATCCTCGCCTGGTTCTTTTTTAGACTGTATTTGTAGACTTTTATCTAAAGCTCGCATGTACTGGCCTGATAACTCTCCGAGAGGAGATAGCCCAGCCAATTTGACCCGGCTTCCGATTTTTAGGGATAGTAGTTGTCAGAACAATTGGACGGAGTTAAACAGAAAGGAGCCAAGCCACATCGGGATCGAACCGAGAAAAAGAGGTTTAAAGTTTGGCTCTTGCATAAGATTCAATGTAAAAGATTAACTTCAAGTTCAAGTTTTGCAAAATTTGCTCCAACAAAAACTTTGAATTTTTGGCTATAGATAGTAAAGCAGTGGTTGAGTTCAAAACCACTCATAACTCAATTTTTTCCAAAATGTGGGTTGGTTCCTTTCTGCTTAACTCAGTCCAATTCCCTGACTCTCGATTTTTTCCTTATTTTTTCCAATTTGATGTCCGATTCATTTTCCACTGTGTATTTGTAAACTTATTTATAAAGATCGTGTGTACCGGCTCCACACAACCCGCAAATCGTGTGTTTTCAGCAAGCCTCAGGTCAATTTGACCCGGCTTGGGCATCAAAGAGTTATAAAATCGCAACCGAGTTACGTGGGTCGGAACTCTCGGGAGCTCCATCATCGTAACGTAAGAGCACCGATTTATGAATAGGTGCATTGTCTGGGCTGATTATTGAAATTGATAGACAAAGCAATAGACAAAGAAGACAAAAAGGATTTGGAGGGATCCTGTTGGTGGAAGCGGGTGTTTGCAATGGACAAAGAAGGTAGGTAATAGACTAACTAACGGCAACCCACGAGAGACCCGACAGTTAGTCTATCATTTTCCCCCTTAGTCTATGAGAACCACCCATTTCAACCAATAGGATTGCTTTATACCTCCTCTGTCTTCTTTCTCTATAGCTTTGTCTATCAATTTCAATAATCGGTCCGCTGCTACCCAGCTAAAAATTCTGTGTTGTTAAAGTTCTGCGGGCCGATTATTGAAATTTATAGATAAAGCTATAGACAAAGAAGACATACGGAGTATGGAGCGATCCCATTGGTTGGAACTGGTGGTCTTTACAGACTAAGAGGAAAAATGATAGACCAACTGTCGGGTCTCCTGTCGGTTGCCGTTAGTTAGTCTATCACCTACCTCCTTTGTCCATTGTAACCACCCGCTTCCACCAATAGTATCCCTCCATATCCTTTTTGTCTTCTTTGTCTATTGCTTTGTCTATCAATTTCAATAATCGGCCCGCTGCTTCCCAGCTAAAAGTTCTGTCTGCACAATTTGTTTCTTCTCCTTAAAATCTGACTCATGTTTCTTAATTTTCTTGCAGGGGCAATGATTCAATGTGGTGGTCCGTGTTTGCCATCGTTTGCATCGCTGCCGCAGCCACGAGATTTTACAAAGTTACCGAACCGGATCATGTGTGGTAAGAACGTCTCCTTACTTTTACATGTCTTACATTACAACCTCCCTTTTTAGAATCAGTACCTCCACTTTTAGAATCAGTCCCCCCCCCCCCCCCCCNTACTCCCAAAAAGGCGCAAGGAAGGCTCCGGTACGATGATATTTGGATTTCTCAGGGATCTTTGTCCCTTAGGGATTCCTGTTCGTTTCGGCGACCCCTGACCTCCTGCCTCGTTTAACAAACCGAAAAAAAACCTGTTAGGGCTGGTCTAGATCACTCTGTAGTCTGTACACCATTCTAAATTAAGTATAAAATAAATATGGCATGATAAATCACCTTTTAAATAGAAGAACTAACACACACAAGATGGGGAAAAAAAAATCAAAATGTAATCCATCCGTCAAAGACCACCGGCTCAATGACCACTGAACCCACACAATATTTTTTTTTGCATTTTTTAATTTTTTCCCCTTAAATTTTTCTTTTCAAATGTTAAGACTCCTTTTGAGTTCAATCATGAAATGGTTCTTTTCTAAAATACATATGACTGTGGACATCTGTTGTCACATCTTGTCTTGGAACTGAAATTTTAAAATCCTGTTTTTACTTTGGCAGTATCATCGAATTTGCTTTATTGAATGTCGGAGTTTAATCGGGGTACTTAGTCTCTCGAGCTGTGAATTCAATTTTTTTATCCTCTGGAACTTTAAATTTTAGAACTTTCAAAAAAGAATAAATACCCATTGAATGATACCGTACGTTTTTATTAGAGCTGTAGACGGGGTACAAATTTAAGCATTCTGATACATGTTTCTCAACCAAAATTTCTCGAAGAACACGATTCGTACAACGAAAATTACTGAAATCCCCTCCTTACTAATATACCAACGTTTTCATTTTACATTGGCTACGGGAAATTGGAATCGCTCGACCACAAGAAAAACAATAACGTTTTTCCATGCATAGATTCGAACCTTTCGCTCAGCAAAAAAACAGTAATCTACTTGAGTTAAAATCGCACACTCATAACATTACCGCGATAGTCTTTGCAGTACAAAAATATGACAACCTTAGTATCGACGCTTTGACTCAGTTATTGCACGTTATTTGGACTAAATTTTGCAATTTGAAATTATAAATTCTAGCTCGGTTTAAAAACAACGTATGTGCCATTAGTTTCTCTATTCACATAAGTATTTTTCCAGAAGAGTCAGAATTTATAGTTCTAAATTGCAAAATGCAGTCCATTTACACCGTGAACAACATAGGGTGGGGAATATTCACTAATCAATTGAGTAGCCTGCCAAAACCGTCGTAATGTGCGATTTGACACATGTAGAAAATTGCTTTTCTTGTGATCGATCAATCAAGGTGTCTACTGATCCGGAAAGTCCGGAAATAAGTAGTACTAATTTTTTGAGGGCGATCGGGAATAATGTAAAAGTACGGAAATTCTCTGTAAAGGTCCGGAATTTTTTTGTTTCACTCCACGGGTATTTTTCAGAACAGCCTAAAAAAGAAGCAATTCGTCGCGCAATGATTCTTAGTGCAGTTTTTTTTCCGCCAGATCGAGATTGTAAAGCCAGTTGATCCTCAGGCCACCAATGAGCTTCGAATTCCATGCCTTACGTCATTTTTCTCGCGATTTGCGCATGCATTTCGACAATTTTCGAATTTCGTCATCTAAAAGCACAAAAGAAATACTGAGCTTTTCTTTTTATGAGGTACCGAATTTTTTGGATTGGTACTGAAAAAGTACTGTAAAAGTACTTAATATTTGCCAGCCAGTTTTAGTAGGCTCTACTCAGTAGTCTTCTGTGGATACGACACATGAGTCTCGATATGGAAAGTAAGCGGTTTCTAAAACGCCTTCAATTGTGGCCTGATACCTCATGCATTCCTAAGAGTACGAATAGTTGTATCTCTGCGCCTTAGCAGTGCGATGGAAGATAGGCCTTGTCGGTTTCCTTTGCCGCCACTGCAGTTTTGACCGCATAATTTAAGTGGACTCACTGCTCAAGCTAGGATCGTATTTAACAAGTGGATAATTTTTATAGAAGAATTAAATATAAACGTTTAATAAACAAGAATTATAACTAAATAATAGGAACCCAAATCAACAATCAACTTAAAGATACCGAAAAAGTGCTGAATTTTTCTGCTCACTAGGCGCCTAATTTTTCGGAAAGGTACTGAAAAAGTACTGTAAAAGTACTTAATTTTTGCCAGCCAGTTTTAGTAGACCCTGTTTAGTAGCACTCTATTTATGCGACACTTGAGTCCCAATGGCGGTTTCTAAAACGCCTTCAATTGTGGCGTGATACCTCACGCATTTCGAAGAGTACGAATAGTTGTATCGTTGCGCCTTAGCAGTGCGATGGAAGATTAATATTGAATTAATCAACTTTAAGGTACCGAAAAATTACTGAATTTTTCTGCTCATGGGCACCGAATTTTTTGGAAAGGTGCTGAGAAAGTACTGTAAAAGTACTAAATTTTTGCCGGCTACTTTTTGTAAACACCCGGGCTAATCAAATTTTCTGTAACCACTGTAGAAGAAAAACGTTAATATATTAGGCAAGAGTTTATTTCAAGAGTTCATTTTTTTTTGGTCGCGTGAATCGTAATTTAGGTGAAATTTTGGGTAAGCAACATGTATCAGACTACTTAAAGTCGTACCTTGTCTACTGGTCCATCTTATTATTAACATCCTATCGTTGTATCACTTGATGTCGCTCCTCTGACGTAAGTGCGTATTTCCATCGCCACGTGAGCCTCTGAAAGCACGGCGTTGTATGGACAACAGGGCTCACGTGGGAACCGATGTACGCTCTTACGTTAGAGGATCATCAGAAGGGACCTATTTTCTTTTCAAGTGTTTCCCTGCGGAAGTATTTTTCTGAAAGTAAGTAAATATCTGCCTGGAGAAACTTGTAATAAATTCATTTAAATGACTGGAACTACCTAGGAGAATATTCATCGGTTACTTTTTCTGAACTGATTCATGATTCAATGTGTTTTTATTGCAGCTGGGATGAAACTCATTTTGGAAAAATGGGCAGTTGGTACATCAACCGGACCTTCTTTTTTGACGTCCATCCGCCTCTCGGAAAGGTAAGGTTTTTCCTTAAACGGAATGAAATGGGGGGAAAAAAATTCCACGAAAAACATACTTAATTTTGGGCTTAAGAATTTTTTTTCGTGACAGGAAATTCTATCGTAGAAAATTTAAAAAAACCAGTATGAAGTCATGGCATTCTAGCTTTGAACGGTCGAAACGAGAATGTGTTCTTTCTTTTAATGTGACTGAATCCAAAAAATAAGTACAAATGTGCTTGTTCATGGTAAGAGGGACCTTCGTCCAGTGGCAATTAAATATCGCAAGTTGGCAACACTGTTTTTCCTCCATTTAAATCCATTAAAAATATCGACATTGAACGACACAAGCTGCCTCATCAAGAATCGATTGTTTTACATACATTTAAATGGAGGAAAACTGTGTTACCAACTTTCAAGAATCGCCACAGCCTTACTCCACAGCGGCGACTTATTCGAATAGTTTTTTGTCAAGTTGGGTAAAATGGAGATCTCACAGCAAAATCCTCGTTGGTACCTCAATGAAAAAGTTTCAAGTAGTGAAGTTCATTTATGTACCCAAACAGGGTGTATTATCGCATTTTTATTGTGCAATTTTGAGCCTTGGGCAGAGCAGATTATACTTTTGAAATCAGTCTTTTCTGAATTATGTATTTTAAGCTGCTAATTTCAAACTGTCATAACTCCGGTTTCGATTTACGTATATGGGCGGTTTTTTTCTGCAAAATGTTCATATGCAGAGCATTTTTGTATACGTTGCATTCTTTTCTGTATGATCTGGATGTATTTCTGCCAAACGGAACTGTGTGCATTATGACGTAAGCCCTGTTATGCATATATTGTTATGAGTCTCAGGGCTCATGTCTTAATGCATATAGTTCTATCTGGAAGAAATACGTCCTTTTCCATTTTCCTGTGGACGGTCACAAAGTAAGTTTTCATCAAATTACAAATTTGAAGCTTTGCAATTAAATTTTAAATTTTGGATTCCTTGATACTTAGATCTATTAAACATGAAGAAACAATAAAATAATAATTATTAATTACTTTTTGCTGCTTTTCAAAATTTGTTTAAGGTTTCAAAAAATAAATGTTGCACATTCATTACTCAAGGTTAGAAGTGAGTATTTTAATGTATTTTTAAATGCGCTGCACAACCTGAAATTTCTGGGATTTTCTTCCGAATTTGTCAGGGAAATTTCAAATAATATCATTCTTTGAATTTTGTGGCAGCCCTAGAATTGTTGGTGAATTTTTGCATCGAATTTTTGCAAACAATTTTCAGATTAGAATCAATACAATTTTCAATGAAACTCTTTCTCAATGTGGGCTGATGCTTGAAATTTCCTCAAATTCTGAAGAGGTCGGGTCAAATGTTTATTTGATTTAGCATGGAATAACCCTGTCTCTATTGATATGACAACTGTTTACATGTGTTTCCACTTATTTTCAGATGTTAATTGCATTGTCTGGATATATGACTGGATATAATGGAACTTTCCCTTTTGAAAAACCTGGAGACAAGTATGAAGATACCAACTATGTCGGAATGCGAGCGGTAAATTTTGTGCTACCTTTATTTTAGTTATTGCCAATGAATCTCTGTCATATTGGAAAGCTAAGGACTCAAAATAAATAACTTTTAGTAATTTCAACCACAATGTTAAAATTTAGTAATGGATTTAACTATCAAGTGTCTTTTCCTGTGTCTCCATTCTTTCATCTAAGAGTTTCCAAGGTCAATTCTCTAAACTTCAGTTTTCAAGTTTTGAGTTCAATTGGTCAGTGAAACCCATTTTTTCATTCATTTATTAAAAGCACACAGTGAGCTTAGCTTTTGGGAATTTTTTCGGATTTTTACACTCAATGGCGAAGAAACCCCGTTTTGTAAATGTCTATAATGAGATTAGTTTGATAGGATATTTTTTGAGGGCTCTGATGATGAAGCCACACAGGGGGAATGGCGTATGGTGAATCAAGTCAATGGGAGAGGTTGGACAAAATCTGGAAACTTTGAAAGCTTACAACTCCGTTAAATCAAAATTTTCAAATTTCAAAAGTGGTTCTGCACGTTTCCTTGTGAAATTTTCTTCTGGAAGCACCCTTTAAAATGTACAATCTGACAAATTAAACATCCAAATTTGCAGTTTTAGTCAAAAATTTCGTGTCCGACGTCTTTGATTGACTTGATCCACTGTGCAACGTTTTCTGATTGGCTGAACTCAGCCTCAGATTGCACCTTGCTATGTTAACTTAACTGTTAGTCTTTAAGTGGTCGGATTCTGATTAGCTTTGCCTCACTGTTGAAGTGCTCTTTTGAACTTTTTAATGAACTTTTGGGCTTTTTACAAAATGTTACATTGGAAATGACTGCATTATAATTGTGTAAAAATTTCTTGCTATTGCCCCACTAGGGTTTTTCTCATAGTAAACAAACAGCCATCAAGTACCAATTATATGCTATTTTTTTATGAATGGTGGGGCTACTGAAAAATTTACCCTGGTACAGAATTGTATGGTAAAATATTTTCTGAATGAATAATTCAGCTGATCATTTCATCTCACAATTTAAGACAATTTAAAGAGTTCTCTTTTTATGGACAGTATCTTTCCACATCTTTAATTATATGCTCGCAAATTATTTATTTTCAGTTCTGTACTTTCTTGGGTGCATGTATCATTCCTTTCGGATTTTTGACTGTCTGGGAAATGACTAGATCTCTCACTGCAGCTTCCTATGCTGCTGCGTTTCTAGTATGTGGTAAGTTCAAGTGAGGATTTTCATATTTTCATTTTCTTTCCAAACTTTTCATGTGTGAACTACGAATTTTTACAATTTTTGGGACTTACCTGTTAAAGTTTGAAAATATCAGTTTAAGGTAGAGAAGTACTATAAATATTTTTTTTTTTTTAAAAAAAAAAACGAAAAAAACTGATATTTCTCTGACATAAACAGATCATAAAGTTCTTACTTCATCATTTTAAAGTATTGAAATTAAAGTGTCACTGTTTTGAAGCAATTTGGAAAAAAGGAAATTTTCAAAAAAGCTAGTAAAATCCTTTTCCATCACTCTTTAAAGTTAAAGTAAAGTTAAGGTGTGGCATAGTATTCGATATCTAGTTCTATTGTATGTTGTATTGTTGTGTTTTCAAAATTTTAATCGGAGGAAATTCAATGTTCATTTTGTCCTAAGAAAATTCACGGAATGTTTTTCTTGAAATGTATGAGGAAAGTTACGTTGAAAACTTAATGTACTTATTTTTAATACCTGCCCCTTTTTTTTCTCGTACACTTGTATTGTATGTCTATGTATGTACATGTTTAATTCCTAAGTGAAAATTTCTACTATAGACACATCCCTATTTTGACAGATGTTGGCATGCTCACTTTGACGCAGTATATACTCCTAGATCCGATTTTATTATTTTTTATCATGGCATCAGCTTACGGAATCATGAAATTTAACTCCTTCAAGAATCAGTGAGTACTCAGAAACTTTATTTTATGTAAAAATATATTTTAAGATCACAAAATTTTGACTTAGTTAAGTTTCAAAAATAGTATGTTTTCTCCTTTTGATATACTGTGTATAGCCTGAAGACAGTGTCTATTTCTTTGCTGTCAGTACTTTGTTTAAGAGGCACTACTTTATTGAATTTCGATCGCGAAACTGCAAAATGCATATCTCGGTTTGTGACGTTTGAGATCCCCTATAAAAATTTATCCTTTACCTTAATGAAAAATATTCGACAGCGTTTCCTCAAAACTCCCATGATTTTTCATATTTTTGTGAAGAATACTCCGTAAATATGTCAGGCAGGTGTTGGTTTGTTCTTGTTTGATGAATCAAAATGGAAACAAAAATTTTGAAACACCTCAAACCAGATACCTGTTTTTTTTGCAGTTTCACTCTCGATTTAGTGAAATATCATGGACAGAGCTATTCACAGTTAAGAAGTTTCTTCACTTAGTCTCGGAAAAGGGGTTTTGAAATATACCGATCAGATATCGGCTCATTTTTTCTTTTTTTTTTTTGTTTGTTCAGGCTCAATAAATTTTTGTTCTTAATGAAAAATTTTCCTTTGACTTTGTTTTTTCAGTTTGTATAATAACTCAAAAGTGATTATGAATTTATTTCGAATTTTAATCTCGTCTTGCCTTATTTTAGTATACCATAAAGAAGTGTCAAGTTCTTTACATGAAGCTTTTCATTGGTTATGCCAACACACAAGTTCATTCTTCCTTTAACATGACAGGGACAATTAACCATAGAAATTAGTCACAAATTAGTCACACAAATAAGTCTCCCAGTATTTGTTGCGTCCTGGCTTGAAAAACTGGGGATAATCACTTGAAAAGTTTTTAGTATAATCTCGATTGATTTTTTGGTTATCAAAAATCTAAAATCAAGAGATAACACTTTAAATGAATAAACAGCGCGCAAAGTTAGAAAAACAATCAATATTTGTTAGATGTGATCCTATGTGTTGCCGTCCCAGGCTGTCTGTCAATTAAATTCAAATACACCTTCTTTATTCGTAGCGCTCTCTGATGATGTTTTTGTTTTCTTCTTCAAATCTATAATGCTTTCAATGGAACTAGATAAAAAATTGAAATTTTAAAGGCTTGCTGTCTCCCTAAATTTGAAGCTATTTACTTTTTTGATGAGTAAGTAACGTTTCATTTATGTGAGACTGTTTCCTAATTTGCAATTTTATTACTTTCAGGGCATTCTCGACACAATGGTGGTTCTGGCTCTCTTTCACGGGAGTCATGCTTGCATGTTCATTATGCGTTAAATTTGTTGGCATGTTCATTGTCATGTGGATCGGACTCCATACTATATCTGAGCTGTGGATAATTTTAGGCGATTTATCAAAACCTTTTGTAAGTAATGACGTTAGCATCTTCTAAATGTGTTAATTAAAGACAGTAATAAAGTTGATTCCATGCGTCCTTTCTCACATTAAGAGATTTTTTTGAAGGGGAAACAAATTCTACTTTCTCCACAATTGAATCGGTCAGTTACAAAAGGGCTCAAGTGCCAAAAATGAGAATTCGAGAAAAACGTTGGTAACTGTTTTATCTGACCCCTTACAAATCTCAGAGCTCTGAAATATTAAAGCGATGAATTAGTTAATTACATTATTAATTAATCTGCAATTTAAAACAGGTTGGTTCATACAGTTTGTACTGTTTTTTCCCGTGTTTTTATATCTGGCGCTGGAGCCCTTTTGTAACTGACCGATTCAATCGTGATTTGAGTGGTGATCAGCATTGTCCAGAATTCTCAACGATTGGTTGATAGTCCTGGATGGTGATTTTCATGAGAAAACTAATACATTCAGTACATATATAAATAATAAGGAATTAAAAAAAGGTAAAAGAAAGAAAAAAAATCAGAGCAATATTCTGACAACAAATCACTGAAAACCTTGTATTAGAGCAAATCCATCTCTTTTATCTAGTGTAAAAAAAAATATGAAGTGAGCAACAAATTTTTTTGGGCTGAAATAGCTCAAGCTCTCTTTCATCATCTCGCTTGTGCTCACATTTTCTTTTTCCATGTTACAGATGTACACCATCAAACATTTTGCTGCTCGAGTTGTTTGCTTAATTGTATTACCAGCCATCATTTACGTACTTTTCTTTTACATTCATCTGAAAGTATTGTACAAAAGGTAAATGTTTTAAACTCTTATAGTTCTGCAGCACCAAGTAAGCTTGCTGTATTTTTATCTCATTTGAAAACGAAAGAAATAAACTTGACGTTCAGAACATGCAACGATCTGAAAGCAAATGATTATGAAATTCATTTAGGTCCTTTCTCAATACTAGAGCCTGCTCACCAATTTTGAAGAAAAGGAAAAAAATGAATTTTGCTCTTCAAAAATTATAAAGGTTCGGGTGAAAAAGTGTTAAGGAAGAGTTGGAACCTTCACTTTCTCCTGCTCTAGCAATGCTCCATTCAAATATATAAAATCTACAATGCTGTGAGTTAGACCTGTTGAGAAGACTTTTTTTACTTAAATATTTCATAGTACTTAAATTGCTAATTCAGGATTTTATCTCATCTGAGCCATTATGCATCCACAAATAGTGTTCTTTCTTAGCATTGCGGTATAAATTTTGTAATAAATATTGCTCAAATCTTAAGGGAAAAAAAAAAAGAACTCCAATTCAGTAAAATCGTCTGTACAAATTTTCAATCAAAGTGGGCGTTTCTGCTAATAACGCCTTCGTTCTGTGGAAACGTAAACGTGCAATAGTCTATGATAGACCCTTGCAAACAGAACTTACTGCCAAAAAAGTATACACACATTTTTTGTTGTTGTTGTTGTTGTTGTTGTTGGTTCGGCAATCTACTCTATGCGTTCACCCTGAATTTTGATGGGACGATTGTCATTGTATTCAGGCATGACAATAAAATTCAAAAATATTTTTTTGAACCATCATGCTTAGTGAAAAATGGATGCCTCTCAAGAAGAATGTTTTTTTTAATTTTCTGTTTTATTTAGTCTACAATTTAATGCAATATGAACCAAGTCATACTCTCACCTTCTTCAAATAAATTCTGTGTGTATTATAAGGTTTTGGGTGTTGAAATTTTATTCTTATTAATTTTCAACCAAATTTTTCCAGTGGTCTCGGTGATGGTTATTTCAGTTCTGAGTTTCAATCAAAGCTTGAAGGAAATTCTTTGTACAATGCTAGTATGCCCAGAGGTAATTAGGATCATTTTTATTATTTCATTTTGCAATTTTTCCTTGGAGACTAAAGTATTGCATCTCTATTCATAGCTATTTCTTAGCTATTATTCTATTTATTTATATTTTTTTTCTATTTTTTTCATCTAACTTTTCTTGTAATTCAAAGTTGGAACCAAGGTTAAGTAATGTATTGATGATGAAACTGTAGAAATGCAGAGATACAGACTTCCTGCCATACTCAACTCTCTAGATGGAAAACTACTCCTCGATTTTTTGTCCGCGCACCCGTTTTTATAGTAGTTTACGTCCCTGCGTTTATTCAGTAGGGGAGCTTTGGTCCACTTACCATTTGAGACCCAAAGTTAATTGGTCCACATGTAAATACAAACGAAAATTGCTCACAACGTTTTTGAATGAAAATGTATAAAGTCTTGGAAGAATGAGGGTTTGCCTGTTTTTTGTTTGTTTGGTCCAACGGAGAATAATATATGATTGAGATTTTTGGTAAAAATGGGGGAGCGTCAATTCCATGAGGGAAAATTCACTGAAACTCTGTACACCTCTTTTGTGCAACAGAACTCAATTATCTTTCAAGAAAATCCGATTTTTTATACCTGAACCGGATAAACCTTTTGATTTGTCTCAGCTAAAGGCTCTTATATCTTTCCTGTATACGACAACTTTGCGACGGAGTCGGTGTGCCGTGGCGCTTCGAGTTACTCTTTTGCCATGAAGGTGTTGCACAGTATCATACGAGATTGAAGGCACCCCAACGTATCATGATTGATGACATTTTTCAAAAGCACGAAATTCCCTCGCAAATTAATAATCGAGTGACAACGGCAAAAAGAGAGTGGTAGTCGAAAAACTTACCAAGTCCTAGTATCTATAATCAATAACGTTTAGCATGATTTTTGAACTTTGTCATAGAAAAAAGTGACTTAATTCAAGCAGAAATAGGCTCAAATTTACCGCGGAGAAGATTTCCTTATAAATCACTAAAGAAAATAATGCTTTTTTAAAGAAGAAAAGATGCTTTTATGAAAAGAAAAGTCACTTACATCAAGCAGAAATCCTTCTCTCATTCAGCTATTTTATTCTTGATTCAAAATAGAAAATTCTTGACGGCATCCTCAAGAAGCTTTCTGCCTAAATTGAGTCACTTTTTTCTTTAATGAAATTCAAAAATTATGCTAAACGTTATTAAATTCAGATGCTAGGAATTAGTGAGTTTTTGGACCTCGGCTTTCTTTTCGTGCCGAAGTTTTATTCTGGGAGGAAAGCTCCCTACTCTTGAAGGATACCTGTCATTTTTAATATGTTGGAGCTCCTTCAATTTCGCATGATAATGTGCAACACCTCTGTTGTGAAATAGTTTGCTTGAGGCGCCGTAGCACGTTACGGCCGGCCAGCGCCTTCAAACCTAAGGGGATACTTCAAGCATTGCACAACGCGTGAAGTATCCCTCTAGGTTTGTAGGCGCCAGTTTTGCGCGGGCAGCACGCCGCGGCGCGGCGCGCCACTCCGCTCTTTGTCATGCTCTAATATTTGAACTCGCTGAGTCAGCCTTTTCATGATTTGGAAGTGTTTGCACACTCTGCATGGCTTATTCTCATTTAAATTGATGAAAAAAAACATGTATCTAAGGAAAATATAATTTGTGTTTTGTAAATCTTAAGGTGGTTTCGTGTTAAATTTAATGATTTCCAAAGCACTTTAATTTTTTCTTTTATATTTTGTGCTTTTACTGTGCTGTAGCGTGGTATCCAAACGCTCAAAATGGGATGTATTTGACTCTAAAAGATTGATGTACAAATGGGTTAAAATCAAAGATTGCGTGCTTCTTGATTTTTTCCCTCTTTTATTCATTTTCGTTTCTAGTTTCTTTCAACACAACTACGCTCATTGAGATTAATGACCATGCCATTGATTGGAAAAGCTTTTACAAATATTTTCCGTGTTTTAAAAATATAATTTTTTTAAAAATGAAGTAATATTTTCACTGAAAAAAAAGTACAGCATTTCAGCACTATAAGCTCCAAGAACTCCTAATTTTGCATAGCAGGTAACGCTTAGTTCCAGCGTTTTACTAGGCCAATTTTTATGATTTTTGCGGCTATCGACAGGCAATTGTCTCTAGATGAGCCCCGCTCTATTCAGATTTTCAAAATATGACCCGCGTTTTTTATATTACATGGTAAAGTTGCGAATCCTCCCATTTAAATGATGTAAATTTTTATTTTTTGTCATATTTTTTTTGAGCATTCTACTGGGCCAATTTCCATGATTTTTGCAGGGATGCACACGTATACATGGGTATAGACGACTCACTATAGAGGAAAAAAATCGCATAACCTCTCACTTGGAACTTTACTATGAAATTATGCTCTGTATGAGATTTTCCCCCTTTTAGTGAGAAAACGCAGCGTAGTACAGCATCAACGTCACGTCAGTTCTGATCGTTTGATAACCAACTTCGTGTCTATTGACCGGTGTTCCTCTTTTGTTCTTCGTAGCTCTTTTTATCCAAACATTGGCTGATGATTGTTTCAGTCAACCCAAAGATTCTGAAATGTTAAGAATGTAACATGATAAAAATATGAAACTGCTCTATAATGACTGTAAATGTCAAAAACTTGAACTTTTTTTCTGTCTGAATCTTGACTGTTCTCATTAAACTGTTCACAGAATTAGCTTTTGGGGCTGTAATTACCCTGAAAAATCATCGCACTGGAGGTGGCTATTTACACTCTCATTGGCATCTATATCCTGAAGGAGTTGGTGCTCGTCAACAGCAGGTCAGTTTTTGCAGTCAGGTTCTTATTACTGAGGAGTCTGTTACAGGCTTAATTTTAATACTCCATTTCTATTTGATAGATGGAGTGAACCTACACTTCTTATCGGGCAAGCAAGGCTAAGAAAATAAAAACACTCAGAAAGCAGGACATTAACATATTTCTTAGGTTTTTTAAGCGGCTAAAATATAAAAAAAAATGAATAAAAATATGAAGGCGACTGTATCAGAGTTGTTTTTTTGCAACAACATCCAGGGGAAAAAAAGGAAGTAGATGTAAAGCTGTAATTTTTAGCAAAAACCTTGTCTTATCTTATTTTTATCAGGTTTTCTTTCCCTTTTGACTACGATCTCATTCAATCTCAAATTAACGTCTAACAGAATGATCTTACTATCACTGATATTTTGATGCTTCATGAGTTCATTTCAATAGTGCAGGACAACAAAAGTTGGTCAAATCATGTAAAAAAAAATAAACCATCAGCCTGCTGTCCGGATACCCCGTGTAAAATTTTTAAGAAGAAGTGTTATGTTGCGCTTCATTTCAGTTCATTCTTACCTCGTTTTGTGGCTCATTCTATTTTTCCTACCCCTATGCAAATCTAGGTTTCTGAATTCAGGATTTTTTCTTAGATTTCCTAGAAATTCTCATGATTTGAGGAAATTTGGAATTCAGATAATAATACAAACCCAGGACGCAAATTGTTGGAGGCATCAATAGGCATCTTTGGAATAGAAATTTGACCATATCCCTTCCTTCTGTACATAGTTAGTTTCCTCATAGTTGTTTAAATTAAGATGTTTCATTTCATTTCCCTCAGATCACAACCTACACTCACAAAGATAATAACAATAAGTGGATCGTAAGGAGGTATAAAGAAGATGCACCTGTAGAAAACGACATTGAAGGCATCGAATTTGTGAAGCATGGAATGCTCGTTAGGCTCACTCATGAAGCAACAGGCAGGAATTTGCACTCTCATCGTGAGCAAGCTCCAATCACCAAGAAACATCTCCAAGTAACAGGTTACGGAGAGGTAAGTAGTCTAACATTAGCTGCAGCTTAAGGCTTTTTAATGATAATTTATGAGGAAAAAAACACCTTGAATTTCATCAATACCAAATCTCTCAAGATGGATTTGTTTTCTTTAATTTCCTCCAAAATTTTGTATTCAAATTTTATTCCAAAGAAAGCTTTTAATACACTCCATCATATGTTAAAAGCAGGTGGTTAGCCAAGAACGTACACTTATTTTTTACCAAGCATTGTAAAAAGCTAAACTAGGTAGAATAAGGGTCTACAATTAAGCATTCTCTGGAAACAGCATTTTTGACCTCGGCTTTTCTTAAATCATTATCTATTGTAAAAGCATAAATAAAATGTAGTAAAAGTTCTAACGAAGTACATGCCTTTACTTTCCTTGTAATGGATGAAGTCTTAATTTAGATTCTAAGATTGGATTTTCTTCTGCAACTGAGGAGCGCAATTGTCAACATCCAGAGCCTCAATTTCTGTCACTATCAAGATAAACATTTCTTCCTCTCTTAAAAACAGAACACAACTTGTAGGCTGGAATGTTGCCTAGTTTTTTACGGTATCACATTAAGAGTGACGATTACATGAACAAAAAAGTTATCGCATAAAATGGTCCATTGTTACCATACAATGAATAGATAAATGAATGAGAATAAAAGTGAAAACTTTTATTTGGTACATACAACTAAAAAATTGTAGAGTAAAGCACTTTATTGACCCTTGTTAATGTAGTCCTTGATCGTTCATCAAATTTTTGCATCTTTCTATGTGTGCTCTAGAGTGGGGAAGGGGATGCAAACGACGTTTGGATCATATTAGCCGAAGGAGGTAAAGAGGGCGATGTTATAACCACTGTAACGAGCAAGCTCCTTTTTATTCATTACTTGCAGCGTTGTATGCTAACTACAACAGGAAAACAACTGCCTGCCTGGTGAGTTCTCTCAAAAGTTGCGATTATGTACTAATTTTGAAATTCATAAAATTCTTTAAATTTGTCAACCTCTCACCCACCAGCACCTTAGATCATTGGTTGTGTAACATAATAGTTTACATCTCAATCAAAAAGTCATTTTACCTCTTGCCCTAACTTCACTCAATTTTACGTCAATATTTTGACTTTTTTTTGACATATTGGATACAATTTGCAAAGTTCTTGGCTCACTACGTACTAATGGTAGATGATGAAAGTATGCACGTAATATATTTTGGTTTGTTGTATCGCAATCTTTCTATTGAATATCGTTTTAATGGTAAAGAATTGGCTGCTTTTTACCCATGAAATTTGCATGGTTTTCTTGCAGTTTATAGAAAAATTCTTTCCAAAAATGTCGCATAAATATATCAGTTTTTGTTTAAGAAAATGAATTTAGGGAGGAAAAAACACTACTCGTAGTAGCAAATTTGAAGTTTTCATTTAAATCTGAGATTTTAAATAAACTGATCATTCTCCTTACAACAAACCATTTTTTTAATGGTAATGCACAGTGACAACCAAGCATTTTGCATCAACTAGTAAAGAAGACCATTTCTTTGTTAACATTTATAATTTATTTCTGTACAGGGCCTCCGAGCAGCAAGAGGTGACTTGTAGTCCTAATCTAAGGAATAAAAATGGAATTTGGAATGTTGAAGATAATTTCTTCCCTAAGCGTAAGTAGAAGTCCAATTGTGCTCACTAATTCTTCATGGATAGATTTTTACTCTCACTTTTAAATCTCCAATTCAACAGTCCCTCCTTCCTTGCTTTTGTTTAAATTTGATTTCTTTGTTAGGAGTAAGTTGCGCTTCAGCACTCTCGTGTGAATCAAAACATTTCTTTGCCAGAATCTTAGTTTTACTGTTACTTTGAATTTAATGTAAAGAGGGTTGGAGTAGATCCTTTTCAAATTATCAGCTCCAAACATGTATAATATATTTTCAATTAATCAGTAAAATCTACCCTGTTGAGACGGATAAAATATGGCAAGACTGTTATTGTGGAATCGACTTGCCTTTTAAGTCTGCTGCAATTCCCATGCCATAGGTTCTTTTGTAAAATATGTGTGTTTTGGGTCTTTAAGCTCTCAAAAACAGGTATAAACAGTCTAGCTCGGTTTTTTTCTAGTTCCAAAAACTTCATTAGTTCTTGATAAGATTCCTCTGATTGGCAGGCTCCTGGAAACTTACAGTGAACTATTAGAATCTATTTTTCCATGGTTTTTTTTTCTTTCTTCCCCCCTTCTTTTATCCTGTCGGTAGGCATACTATTTAATAAAATCCTCCAATTGTAATTACATATTTTTCTCATGTTTCAGTTCCAAACGTTAGTTTTGAAGTGTACGCGCCTAGTTTCTTTGAAAGGTTTTTGGAGTCCCACGCTGTTATGCTGCAAGCCAATGCAGGTCTTAAGCCCAAAGAAGGGGAAACCACGTCACAACCATGGCAGTGGCCGATCAATTATAAGGTAGCAAATCAAAAATAATTTTTTATCTCAGGAACTGTTGCTCTAATTTGACACCTTGAATGACTTACTGGAAAAGAAATAGCAACAAACGATAGTATTAACTTGAAACTGGCAGCAGAAAAAAATCTCAAAGTATTAGAGGATAATGGGTCAGTTACGCTGATCACAGAATTGTGTTTTGATGCTTGATTCTTGTAGATTAGCTGAAAATAATAAGATCTGTCCAAACCGCAACTTTCTACATTCAATATTGACCAAGATATCGCTCTTTGAAAAGTCAGGTTTTTGACGTCATCCACCGCAGCAGTGACACTCTTGGTTTCTTCCTCTTCTGTTCGATCAGTTATGCAGAGAGTGCAATGCAAAACTTCAACGATGGTAAACAAACTGAGGTGAACTGTTGACTGCCTAATCTCTTTGCGGCGAGTGCGTTATCTCTTGTACGGAAAAAATGAAATTGCTAATTCAACAATTTTGTAGTTAAAAAGTGTCCGACACGTTTCAATGCAAATTTTACGATAGAAAAATGCTAATTTAACTACCCCTGTGGTTAAATTAGCTTTTCACTATTGCAAAATGTACATTCGAAACATGTCGGACACATCCTTTAACAATTTAATTGTTAAATCAGCAATCCATTTTTTTCTGTGGAGGGTGCCTCCACACAAATATTACTTTATTTAAGAATTCAGTCTTGAATTACATCGCTGGTAAGTAGACTGCACTTGCATCAAATAAATAAAACCACAGCCACTAAGTGAACAGAAATCAAATTACAGAGAAAAAAATGAAATTGCTGATTCAACAATTTTATAGTTGAAAAATTGTCCGACATGTTTCAGTGTAGATTTTACAATGAAATAAAATGGTAATTTAACTGCCCCCGTGGTTAAATTAGCTTTTCACTATTGTAAAATGTACATTTGAAACATGTCGGACACTTTTTTATCAATTTAATTGTTGAAGCAGCATTTCATTTTTTCTGTGTGATAAGAAGGTCTTTAAGGTGCGAATCCGTCTGATTCTTGAGTTTAATATCGTTGAAATTTCGCATTTCACCCCTGCATCACTTATCGAACCAAGGAGGAAGAAACCTATTGTGTCACTGCCGCGGTGGATGTTGTCAAAACCCTGACTTTTCAAAGGGTGATACATTGGTAATATTGAACGTAGAAAGTTGCAGTTTAGATAGATTTTATTATTTTTTGCTAATCTACAAGAATCAAGCATTGAAACACAATCCTGTGACCAGCGCAACTGACCCATTATCTGAGATGGAAAGTAAAAATGCAAAAGGAATACTAAGGAAGAGAAAAGGGAAGCTGCTGCCATTCTTCTGTTGCTTATCTATTTCCTTTTATTCAAATAACCATCAGCTCTGAAATAGGTTAAATATATTGACTGTGTAACTCCAAATCCAAGCATCTCGGTTTTCGACGTTTCAGACTTCCTGTCATGCTTTATTTTTCAAATGGTTAACCACTCAACGTCAATTCTCACAAACTGCCAAGATTTTGCCTTTCATTGCGAAAAAAAAATTCTGAAAAACAACCTTCAAGGAATTTTGTCAATTTGCTCTCCTTCAAAACACTAAAATATGAGCTGAGATGTTAAAACACTGCAAACGAGATACGTGGTTTTGACATATGTAAACAATGCTTCTTTACACTACCTTTTGCGAGAAAAGTTTGATGACAAAATCTCCAAATCACTTCTCTTGTTTTTGGTATGCCTTCAATAATTCACTTTTTTCTAAAGGGCAGTGATTCTTCTTATATGAAGAGATTGACCGAAATGACATCATTCTTTTGGTATCAAGATTTCTAGAATTGGTTTAAAAAAAGATCAAATTGATAAATTGATCTTTTTAAGGATAAATTGACATGATGAATTAATTTTGTTTAATTTTCAGGGTCAATTCTTCTCTGGAAGCAATTACAGAGTTTATCTTCTTGGAAACCCCATTATCTGGTGGGCCAATTTGGTCTGTCTTGCAGTTTTTGCAGTCATATTTTTTATTAATTCAGTGCGTTATCAGAGAGGATATCAAGATCCACCACATATTCAAGGTAATTTTTTCATTTAGTCAAAAACAATAATACTGGGTGTGTATTAATGGGATGAAAGTGCTCGTCACACAAACAATAAGCATAATTCTTGATCTTGCCACCCATGGCGAATGTGAAAATTTTAGTGTCTTTTCTCACAAGCATAAAAAAATAGCACCAAAAATTTTAGATGGATTTATGTGACACTTCCTTTATAAGAAAAATAAAGTGTTAATAAGATGTACAGAAACAACACAATCAAAATGCGTGCCTTTGTGCTGGAGAAGATGAATGTATAGCTGTTTCTTTTTAGGTGAGCAATGACGATTTCACTAGTTGGAGTAAGATTTCCATTGGTGTTAGTTGCATCATCACATGGCGCTGTACAATGGAAATACATTATTTGTTGTTTAAAGTAGTAAAAAATACAAAAATTAGGGGCAATAATGATCCATTTGGGAACGCCTTTAATTTTTTACAGATTTGCAGTATTACAGTCATTGTGACAGTCCTTTTTTTCCCCTATGTAGATGCAAAGATTTTAATCTGAAATCACCTTTATAAAAGTTTTGAAGAGAATGTCTTATCTGTGGTCAAGGAGGTGTATTATTATTCATAACTTGCTATTTTACAGAAATCAAGACTTCATCATTGGATAGCTGCGTGTGGCTGAGCATCGGATGGGCTTTGCACTACATTCCTTTTTGGGGAATGGGGCGAGTTCTCTACTTTCATCATTATTTTCCAGCTCTTTTATTCAGCTCCATGTTGACAGGTATTTATTTCTGTTCTTCATTTTCTTTTTTTTTTTTTTGAATCATCGCTTTGATGCACACTTGTACATGTTGCATGAGTGTATAATCACTTATTTTATCAGGGGGCAGGAAGTTTTTTCATTTACTTTCAAGGCCATTTTCAAATTGCTGTTCACATATGACTACTTTCTTTTCACATTTTTGGGACAAACTTCATATTGTACATATTGAACCCATAAGAATGCGCACGATACTATTTGCTTTGTATAAAAGAGGGGCCTTCCTCATTTCCTTCAACATGAAAGAGCTTGTTACATAGTTTCCACCACGAAAAGTAACAGGCCCAGCGGTTTCCATTCACAAATTAAAAACGCATGTAATGGTTTCCTCAAAAAAAAGTAGTACACTCATACAAAAGAATAATACGTATGTGTACGTCGCTCCTACTGCGCACTCTAGCCCTTTGCAACACCCAAGTGTTGCATGTGCCTATCCTCCAACGTTAATCATGATGAAGCAACATCTCTTCATTGAAGCCATGTCATCAATAATTTTCAATTAAAATTTAAACAAAAAAGTATCGCGAATGCCTTCTGCCTTCATATTTTTCCTGCAATTGGCGGATCGATTCTGCGCATCTGTATTTTCATACTGCTTAAATTCATCGCACAGCGGCAAATTTTTACTTTATTTTCAATTCTTCTATGCATTTTTGGGGTCTCAAAAACTACATATCCATTCTCAATGTTGCACGCTTTGTCAGCGGTGCATCTTCCGAATCTTACATCTGATTCGACAGAGAATCAGCGGAAATATTCTGTAGAGCTGGGATCTGTTTTGATTTTAATGCTCTACGCTTGTGCCTCATCAGTTTTATGCCTTTCATAATTAGCTTTTACTCTCTCATCTTTTATGAGTGTAAATTGCTTTCGCTTTGTGGTCTGCACTCATAGTCAAGAAGGCTACTAATATGCACTTTTGTTCTAAAATTGTTTCCTCAAGTTGGGTAGATTCTTTCTATTTTTAAGTGATATGCTTCAGTTTTACATCCACCCATCTCCACTTTTTCTTCCTATCATGAGTTTGTAGTGAATATAATTTTTTATTTTGTACTTGGTTTTGATTTGGTGTGCGTCGGTAAAAAGATCAGTTTATTTCTCCTCACTAACATCCTAGTTTTACGTCTTGATTTCTTCCCTGCACATTGGCATGTAGTTATGCTTGACTTGAAATATGCTATCGACAACCAACTAAATTGGCCTCTCAGTCCGTTCCACCAGTCTTTACAGCTTTTTAACGCTATCCCTTTAAGGTAAGATCATACTTTCAGCTTTAATGTCTATTTCTTCATTTATACCTCTTTCTTTATTATTCAATTATTTGCTTATTATTAACTGTGTGTCATCCAGTTCTTAACTTTTTTTTATCTCTCTTTTTGAACCAATGTTTCAATCATGCGTTTGTTAGCATGTTTTAATCTCAGATCCCTCCGGCAAAGTTTTATATTTCAGAAAATAAACAAGAATACATTAGAATTAGTAAAAGTAAACAACAGTGAATTGGCCACTTTGGAAATATTTTGTGAAATTTGTGGTAAAATGTCAGAAACTAGAAATATACATTGAACTATGAGTGTAATCAAGGCATCACTTACGGAGAGTGTACCTTGATCTTTGCATACTGTATTTCTGCACAATATTTAAATATTGCCTCTTTTTTTCCAGGTGTGATGTTAAGTTACATCAGTCACAGTCTAGCCATTCTGCTTCCAGATAGTCTGAAGAACTCTGTTCATCATTGGTTCAACGGACTAATTTTTTCATCAGTTGTTTACAGGTTTGTGGATGCCATTTTCTCCATTTCACATGGGTTAAAACGGTAATGGTCCTGTCCTTTTTCACAGTGTACTTACATCTTGACACTATGAGATAAGAAAGCTACTTCCAGGTCTATCATAAAACTAAGCGCAAAGTATGTGGTAATTATGCAGCCAATAAGTAGCGCTAGTGTTACGGCAATCTCTGGTAATAGTAGTCTCTGGCCATCACATTTTGCTATTTTTTTTGCATGTTTTCTTGGCCTGGCAGGAACTTCTGAATTTTTGGGTGGGTTACATGTCAATAAAAACTTTCTGACTCCTCTTTGATTGCCATTTATAAATGTAAAGCTAATTTTCCTGATTGATTCTCAGTACCTTCTCAGAAGTTGGTTGATTCTACCTTCAAGCGAGTTTGTCACCATTAAATCCAAAACTTTCGCTTAAGTTTTTGAAATTAGAAATTTTTGGTTTTAATTATGATATTTTTTGAAGTTGAACTTTAAAATCTCTAGAAATGACACTCTAGTTTTAGTCAAGACTCGAAATGATTTTTAACGCAGTTTTTTAAGCATGAGATGTGAATTTTTAATCTAGCAGAGCTTTCATAAAACTTAATATCTAAACTTTCTGAGAAAATAATATTACTCTTAACATTTGTTCTCTTTCAATTTCAGTTTTTACTTGTTTTCACCCTTGGCATATGGAATGTCGGGCCCCTCATCAAATGAAGCAAACAGCACAATGCATGGTCTGAAATGGATGGATTCATGGGAGTTCTAGACGAAACTTCAAGGCTTATTTTTTATTTTGAAAAATAATAGACCTGTAGCTGTATCTTAATAACGTTCGCTGGAGTGATATATGTCATGACGAAATGCCTGAATATCACATCATTTCCTAAGTTGCCTGAGAACCTTTATCTCTAGAAACTTTAAGTTCGCATGGCAGTCACCCTTTCTTCAAAGAAGTATTTTAAATTTATCTACTTAAAAATGCTGTTCCTAAACGTGGAGGCAAGCATATTCTTATTTATTAAAAATAGACAATGCTGTGAGCTGTGATCAAATTGAACTGTATCATAAAAGCAATCTTTGACTGGAGAAATGAACAAATGATAATAGTCTCTCTCAAATGAAAGTGTCCATTTAGATGTTAGTTACAGTGGCGTGGCGTGAATTGCGATATATCGATTGTTATGCCATTTAAACCCACGAAAAAAGATCGATTATCAGGGTGTTCGCAGCGAACACCTTAGTAATCGATTCTTTACCATAGTTTTAAATGGCGAGATATCGATAATCGATTACTCACGCCACGCCACTGGTTAGTTATTTATCATAATGAAAGGACGCATTATCAGTTTTTGTAAACCCCTTATTTGCCTCTCAAAGAGGCTAAATGAACTGTGGGGGAATAAAAATCCACAGTAAAATTTGAAGGATGAGCAAACTTACAGTTGTCTCTGCTGCCATGCAGATGGTCTTCAGTCAAGTTCGATCATGAAGACTGCCTTCCACTGCCAAAAATTTACTTAAATGACATGACTGACTACTTACAAAGATTTTGATAGCTTTAATTGTTTTAATACATCACATTTGAAATCTTCAGATCTCCTTTTATTTGTAAATGCTGGAAAGACCTTACATAATGCATCACTTCCTTATTTTATTTATATTTATTCACTTGTTTCGTCTTTTTTTTCTCAATCAACAGCCAGTAGGTTAGTTGTGTGCATTTAAAACTGGTATGTTAATAGTTCATACCTATACTGGAATTCCATAGGCTTAAAAAATTGGAGAAAAAATAGGGGGAAAGGTATATGCTGTAAGAACAGGAAAATATGAGAATATTTCTCAGAAGATCGGAATTTTTCTCTTGTTTTATTTTTCTTTGTCCCTTATTAAGGGACACAGGAAATTTTTGGATCGTTAGAACTAAATTTTTAGGAAATTTAAAATCCTCCCCCTTTTTTTCCTGAAAGGAAATTGAACACATCAGATCAATTTAACAGTTAATGATAGAAACTGCCTTTCTTCTTACTTGACACTTGATTTCATCTTCCTGACTATAGTTGCTCGTTATTTTGAACGGAAAAATCTTCAAAAGTTGAGGAATTTTATTTTCGTCAAGTTTTTTATGAAAACAATGTCTCCAATAATTTTTGGAAGTGGAAATCTACTTAGTAGTTTGATAAGGATTACTGTTTTTTGCAAAAAGGAGATGTCCAAGCATGACTTTGTAACGCCTTTGATGGACCCATCAAAGTACCTGACTCTGAGTTAAAGAATCAGAGAATTTAATCAAGAATTGCAATCATTTGCTGCAATTGCACAATTTATGTTCCTTTTTTTCTGACTGCGTGTTGTTTTCTCATTTTTTTCTGAAACGTTTTATTTTAACATAGTTCTACTTTTCATATTATCTGCATTTCTGGCTCTATTTTTCGCTTAATTTGCCCACTTATTTCACTTCAAACCTTATTGTAGGAGAGTAGGTTGAGCTATTGATTGGTCAAGCCTTGCGGTTATTATTTAAATTAGTGACTATTAAAAGACTACTAAATTTAAAACTTGTGATTAGTCATGCATTCTCAAAGCAATGGGGATTCTAATTGAGAATTGATAACAAAGATTCTGAAGCAATCACTTTCATCCCATTCAAGTAACTCTTTCCATAATTCCGTCCCATTAAAATAATATGTTTTTACTTTTTATGTTGATTTTAATGTTAATCCACTTGCTTTCAGGACTTCTCTCTCGAAGAGAAGTTTCACAGTTTAAAAACACAGTCCTACATATTATGAGTATAAACTGTCATGAGAGATGTTTCTGAGGTGGTTTTTTCGTCGGTGCAGTGGGTTGTGTAGACAAATCGAATCAAATCAGGAGGGTTTAAATGTGTCGGCGAAGTCGCATGGAAAAAATTAAATTGCTAATTTAACAATTCAAATGCTAAAAAAAGTGAATGCAATGTTTAAACGTAGATTTTCCAACAAAAAAATGCTACTTTAACCATTATTGTAAGCTAACTTAACCACAAGGCTGGTTAAAGAAGCATTTTTGTGTTGTAAAATCCACATTGAAACATTGCAGTCACTTTTTTTAGCTATTGAATTGTTAAATTAGCAATTTAAAATTTTCTGTGTGGATATTCTGGGTCCAAACCAAACAAAATTCAATGGAAAATAATAACTGATTATGCTTTACTTCACCTCCTCTCTCAATATAGCGAGTCAATATTCGCAACTGGATGTTTGTACCAAAACAGGCTCAATCTGTAAACACCGGAAATTGTAAAAACAGTGTATCTGTTAATGCACTTTGATGTGGAGGTATAAAGTTTCTTCCATCTCTCTATATACATGAAGCCCCCTTTGATGAATGATGTCCAGTCATTACTGGTTGCATAGCCAGAAAGGAGACCAATGGGTTTTGATCCTTGCCTTTTGTCCCGGAAATTTTTCTCCAAAAATTTTCTACATTTGGACACCCCCCCCCCCTTTCCATAAAAATATCTGGTTATGCCACCGGTCATTACTATTTAATAATCCAAGCGCAGAAAAAACAATCCCTTCCTTTTAATGTCAATGCTTTATGCCCTCTTTCAAAACTGCCACATCATACAATTTTTTCATCACATAGCCCATCGTCTGACTTCCAACATTGAATAAAATCTGAACTCGGTCTCAAAACTCTGAATATATGTTGCAGTTTCTTGCTCTATAAGTATTTTCATTAATTTTCTATTTGTTGCACTGTATTGTACTTTTTGTATGTTTGTGTTCTTGTTTGTATCATTGAATTTTTCTTTTGGTTGTGAAAAAATGAATCAATCGATTTGAAGACATTGATTTGTTAGTTTTACTGAATAACTACTTATATTTAATACTTTTGTACGACTTCTACTGTAATAATATCAATTTTAGTTTTTTTAATGGTTTCATTTGAATGAAATTTTTACGCAATGTTTTGTTAAGATGATTTATATTTTCTATAAAATAATTAATTTTGACAGAAGTTTATGGTGTTTTAATGAAATTTTTTCCCCTTTATAATATTTTAAGTTTTGCCCCGGAATACTAATTTACAACTGTTTGATTATTTACTGAGGACTTTTCATTATATGGTAATTTTAGGAAAAATTCAAAAAGATTAATTGACTCACTTAAAACTGTACCCAGACCAATTGGAGATTCATTCGTCTCATCAAACGGTAATACATATTTCTGAAAGTACAAGCTTTTTGCTATAATGACAACAAAGATTATGAAAAGTTTGGACCTTTTTCATCCAAAAAATATTGTATCTTCTAAATATGAATTGCTGAAATTCGGCTTAATGCAAGGAAAAAGAAGATAAATATCATATTATTTATGTATATCTGCTTTTATCCAAAGGAAATACTTTATTTCTAATGCATGAGCTGTTCGGCATGAAAAAAAAAAAAATCACATCAAATTCTACCCTTCCCTGCCAGAAAACATCGTAATTTTTTAAATCAAGCTACATTCTCGGTATATCATGGTAGAAAGTCATGAAAGAGCAAAGAAAAATCACACAGCTGGAAAACCTGGGAAAACAATGTAACAGCAAGGAAATTTTTGCGAATATCAAGGTCTTAGTAACTTCAGCCGGTGCTATTCGATAGAAGGCAAACAACTTTCGAGTGCCTTTTCTCCATAATTTGAATTTTTGGAAGAGGGAATTCCGTCCAAAATTAATTGGAAGTCAATGTAAAACAGATAATGAATAAACTACAGAAATCCTGCCCGTCCAAGAAGGAAGGAGTGACCGGAAAGTTGCAAAGTTTCTAACAAAGATACACTGCTCTGTAGTTTCTTAATGGATTTACGGTTGGTCCTCTAACATTTCGATAGCCAAAGTGCGAAATCGCGTATCTTTATCGCTGTGTTCCTAATTTTCCGTGCCTATTTTTTGTTTTCAAAGAGGTGTGAGTCAACTTCATGGCTTGAAAATACGGAATATTTTGCCAATAGAGCAGAAAAATCAAGGAAATTTCCAAGAATTGACGTTTATCAGCTTTCGAAAGAAAAAAGAAAGTATGAGAGGAAGTCTGCAGCGTCGTTAACGGAGATCAGGACCGGACTTAGGGGGTGGCCACATGGGCCGTGGCCCATGGCGGCAAATTTTACAATTTTTTTTAAACGTAGGTATAAAAAAAATCGGATTCTGGAAAAAAAAAATACAAACGAGAAAAGGCGACAAAATCTCTCATTTTCTGAGAGTATAGTGATCTCTAATTTTGTCGTCTTTTGGAGATACAAGGGACAGCACCTTTAATTAATCGAGTTAAGAGAGAAATCTAACACGCAATTTGGCCTGGAACGGCGCGGCGCTGAGAGCAATGATGACAAGGACTTGAGATGAAAAGGAGAAGCCCTCGGCTTGGCGGTCGGCATGTAACACATATTAGCGCCTACATACCTCCAAGAATACTTCACGCATTGCGTCAAACGCAGCGGTCGACGGCGACGTGAGGAAACGCTTAGCGCCTACAAGACTGAGTGAATACTTCACGCATTGCGCTAAACACAGTGCGGCCAGCGCGACTCGGCGCGGCGCGGCGGCGGCGGAAGTTAAGATTATTAAACCACATTTATGTTTGTTCTTTCATAATTTTTTCGTTTATTTCTTATAAATGGAAGGCCTTGTCCACTTAGAGATAGGTTTACGGAACTTACTCTCGCGCAAAGTTCCGTGAAAGTGAAATCAGGCATTTTGTCAAATGCCTAGACAGATAGTTAAATTTTGTCGGTCTACACAATTTTGTGAATTTATGGCGGAGAGCTCACGAGTTTTTAATATTTTTGCAAAAACAACTTTTTTTTTTTTTTTTATTCGTACAAAAGAACAATTAGTACAAAATAGGTGCTTACAGACAATTTAAATTTTCTTTTTAAGCTAATTTTAACTTTAACTGATGACTTAATATTATACACATTTTAACTTTACATGACAAGAAAACAATTTGATTTTAATCATGTTGCAAAAACAACTAATCAAATCTACGAACTCTTGTTGTCTCTTCCTCTTCGATTGCTTCTCATATTTTTAAATGTTGAAATCCCAAAAATTCTGTATTCTATGACTTGGAGACGGTTCTATGACGGGACCTCTGAATCGCTAAAAAT